CCCAGGACCCCGGGATCATGACCTGAGCCGAGGTGACTGAGCCACCCAGGCGCCCCTCTATTAACTTTTTGAACATATGGAATGCAGTCATAGTTTTTAATGTTCTCATCTGTTAATTTTAGCATCTGTGTTAGTTCTGGGTTGGCTTTAATGGATTATTTTTTTTCCTCATTATAGGTTGTATTTTCCTGCTTCTCTGTAGACCTGATAGTCTTTGAATGGCAGACACTGTAAATTTTACTTTATTGGGTTCTGCATGCTTTTGTGTTGAGCCTTATTCTGGGATTAAGTTACTTGAAACAGTGTGTTTGTGTCAGATCTGGCTTCTCACATGTGTCAGGTGAAGCAGAACAGTGTGTAGTGTAGGCCGCCTGGTCCCACCGTTGGGGCCCCGCCTTCCTGAGTGTTGTACCCAGCGTCTGACGAATGTGAGATTTGCCAGTTTGACTGATGGGAACAGAAACTCTATTTCCAGCCCTTTTTGAGCACCGGTACTGCTCCCTTGAATCCTTCCGAGTGATTGTTCCCCTGCCTCGGTGGTCTCATCACACCCACGCCCTGATGGGCACTTCACTGAGTACTCGAGTGGGAACCTCTGCAGTTCTCCTTGCTTCTTTCCTTGTGCAGCTTTCATCTGCAGTACTCTGTCCCGTGACCTCGAGTCCCCGATTTCCCCGAAGTCTAAGCATTCTCTCTCAGTTCGGGGAGTCTGCTGGGCAGCCTCTGGGTGCCCCCTGTCTGCACCCTGGCCTGGAAACTCAAGGCAGTATGCCGGGGCCGTTGTGTGACTCACCTCATTGGTTTACTGATTCTTAGGGATCGCGCTTCTTGGTTGTAGGAAACTCATCATCTGTTTTGGAAACCTGTTTCCTTTGTTTTATCTGGAATTCTTTGGTTATTTCATGCAGGAGTGTGGATCCAATCTTGTTAATCTTATCTTGACCACAGCTTGATCCTTTTGAGGTTGTTTTCTTTGAATTTATTACCCTTTATTCATACCATAAGCTTTACTAGGGCAAATCTAGCCCAGCCTCACTCTGGGACTATTTCTCAGGGGCCCCATGACCACCATGTACCTCAGTGATTTGCTAGAATGCCTCAGCCAAGTGGCACGACTTAGGGCTAAAGATGATTACTACAAAGGACATGAAACAGGATCAGAAGGAAAAAGATCCTCGCAAGAGGAATCCAGAGAAATCTGGTGCAGGCTTCCGAGTCGTCCCTCTGTGAGGGTCGCACAGAGGCCCTTTGTTTCTAGCTGTGAGAATGTCTCTCCCCGGGAAGCCTGCTTGAGCCTTGGGGTCCAGAATTCTTAGAAGGAGCTAACCCCTCCCGCAGGCACCTGCTGTCGGGCAGCTGTGGGGCAGACCCCAGACGAGGCAGCGTCTGTGCGGGAGGTCTTCATGTGTGCTTGAAACAGTGCGGACAGTCGGGGACGTCACCCTCCAGGCGCACCGTGACACCCTCGGCCCGTGACGACGTAAGCCTTAGTTTTGAGAGTGTAAGGCTCGGAAGCGTGGATCCAGTTCTCCCTGTTGATTAGTAAGGATCGAACAGATCAGACTTGCGGCTGCTCCTTCCTCCTGGGTGCACTTGCCTTGCTGCGGAAGGTGCTGGAACGGTCTGCGTGTCTGTCTTCACGCTGGGTTCTGTCCTGCGTGACTTCCTGTTTCCCGTGGAGGCTGCCGTGCTCCCACCAGATTGATGAACTTCCGAATCCGCGGTCCCGAGCTGTCACTGTCACCCTCGTGTCCTCGGCTCCGTCCGACTGCTGTTCTTGAGGGGCCCTGCCTCCCTGCTCTGCAGGCTGGGGTGCCTCCTGGCAGGGTGCCCAGGGGGTTTGGGGTCATGTCGGGGTCCCCCTTCTCTCAGGGTCACTGTTCTGTCCCGCTGCTGTTCAAATACGAGACCGTTGTTCCAGATCGTTCAGTGGGGTAGCCCTTGACAACGGCAGAGCTAGTCCACTTGCTCTTGTGTTAGAAACAAATCTCACGAGGTGACTTACCAATTTTAAAACAAAATTAACTCACCCAGTTTCCAATACAGACTAAAGAATAAGTAGTAGGACGCGCCCTGTACGAGGATACTTGGTGACGTCCTCTTCCAGGTTTTCTCTCTCATTTGCATATAAACCTTCCTTTTTATAAAAATAAAAACAGGATCACGCCACATACGCCATTCTTAACATCACACGTCTTTCCTAATCCGTGCACAGAGAGAGACTTCATTTTAAAATGTCCACAGAGAGCACTTTAGTGTGGATGCGCCATACGTTCTTCAGCCGCGATCCTGCTAACGGACATTTCGGTTTGCTTGTCACCCTCCGGAGTGTGGCAGGTGCTGGTGCTATGTCTCTGCACTCCGAGGTGCTTCTGCACAATAAAGTCCTCCCAGCAACAAACTGGACTGGGTGACAGGTGCATTTAAAGTTTTGATGGATCCTGTCCTGTCAGACTGCCCCTGGGTGGACCGAGCGAGGCTCCGTTCCTGCCACGCAGCCCACGCGCGTTCCTGGGCCTCGCCCGCTCCGTGTTTTCCGTGGAGCGTTCTCTCGTGGCTCATTTGACACTGTCGAGGGTGAATTGCTTGTTTGGGTTGTTGGCTTTTTTGTTGTAAGTGTTGTGGGTTCATCTCTTTTGCTATTTATGGGAATTCAGAATATTGCCTTTTGTTTATGGTTTATTTTAGAAGTTTTACATTTTTATGTGGTTATATCTGTCAGTCTCTTTGTCTTAGGATTTTTTGCTTTCTGTATTTCAAGGTTATAAACCCTTTTATTCTGTTTTTGCTTTTTCTTTAAAATTCTACTCCAACAGAAATTTTCATGTGTACCGTGAAAGTAAGAAACTCACCTTAATTTTTTTCCCAAATAGACAGTCGTTTGTTATGACACTATTTAGTGACTAATCAGCTTATTTTAATTAATTTGAAAGTTGCTTAATCCTATTCAGTTCTTATAATCCTGGGTCTGTTTCATTGAGTTTTATTCCATACTAGGCCACTCTCTTTTACCTTATCTCTTGGTATATTTTGAAATGGGGTAGGGCAAGTCTCCTCCCTGAATTCTTTCAAAACTATTTTTGGTTATTGTTACACATTGTAGGTAAGACGTTTTATTGACATTGGTAGGTATCCTATTAATACTTCGTGTATCTTAGAACACAGAGATGATGATGATGATCAACTACAACACGGACTTAGCACCCGTTGTATATGCCAGGCCTTAAATGAAGCATTTCATGTTGAACATTTCCTATTAATTCCTCACAGTAACCCTATGAATGAGGTACTGTTTTTATATTCATTTCACAAAGAAGAAGCATCAAAGTCATTTCTCGGATAGCCCCGTAGCTATCTCGCCTTCCTTCTGTCCATACCGTAAACTTCACCCCTTTCCCAGGTGAAGGCTATAAGGCTAAGGACAAATCTGTTTGGTATTTCAGGAATCCGTGACCTTCAAGGATGTGATAGTGGATTTTACCCAGGAAGAATGGAAACAGCTGGATCCTGTCCAGAGAGATTTGTTCAGGGATGTGACCCTGGAAAATTACACACACCTGGTCTCCATAGGTAAGGATGACTTCTGAGTTCGTATCTCAGGGTGTGGAGGAGGAGGGGTCTCTTGTGCTTAGGTGAGTTTTTGCCTTTAATGAAGTTAAGGAACCTAAGATTCCTATATTTTGAAAGGCTTTGAAAAGGTTTCTACTCTCCTAGCAAGTAGAAGTACAAACTAGTAACTTCTCTGAGCCCACCTTGGTTCCCAAATTATACCATGTCTGGGAATTTGTAACATCGAGGCTTTATGTGCTATTCACTGCTCTAGGATTTGTCTCATGTAGGACTTTCCTCCTACTGTAATCAGGCACCTTTTTTCCCCCCGTGAGCAGGACTCCAAGTTTCCAAACCCGATGTGATTTCCCAGTTAGAGCAAGGGACGGAGCCATGGATCGTGGAGCCTGGCATCCCAGTAGGTGCTTCGGGAGGTAAGTGATGGACACCTGCCCGGTGAGTATCATTAACTCTAACCATCAGCCTGGTAAGAGGATATTATGTCTGAAATACAGATGTATTTGCTTCTCTTTACCGTCTCCCGTGGAGGAAGGAGAATCCATCTGGACTCTTGGGGCTTTGTCAGAACACTAACGGTCTCAACATATATTCTATTTTGGGAGACTCCTTTCAGAGGCGGTATCCTTCCTGCTTTTTTTTCTGAAGGCAACCTCTTGACCTGGACTCTGGATTCCATCTTTTCCCACCTCCTTTGGGACCCTGGTCTCTTAATTATCACCTCACTTTTCAGCCCTTACCGCTTGTTTGTTTTGGATCTCCAGGCTTGATGACTAGTACTTTCAAACAGAAATAGTACCCTAAATTTCCAAGTGCTTTACTCAGCACTGTTCCTCCTTTTGGCCACCGTCCGATCTGTCACGTTGCTTTCCCAGCCAAACTCTACAATAGTCAGTTCCATACCTGCAGTCTTCATTTTTTATCACCTGTTCCTTAAGCTTCTGACCCTACAACTTAATCCAAGACTATCCCTGAAATTGTGAATAACTTTCTTGTAGACCATGAATTCCCAAAGTGCACGGAGAGGAGCTTCAAAGATCTGACTCTGAAAAAATATAGACTTAGTCATGCTAGGTGAGGGATAGATCTCTAAAGTCAGTGAGGTGGGAGCAGGGGTTCTTTTTATGGGGAGAAAAAAAAGTACTCCATGTTCCAATTTGAGAAGTGCTGGGTCATCAAAATTTTAGCAGGTTTCTTACTGAAAGACCACTCAGAGATTTCTTAAATACGTAATTGGGCAGTATGAATTTCCAATAGGGTTGCATAGCATGTAACATTCTCCCTCCCCCACCGTGAAGCCTTTTCATACTGCACCTTTAAAATCTTCCTCTTAGGGGCGCCTGGGTGGCTCAGTCAGTTAAACGACTGCCTTCGGCTCGGGTCATGCTCCCAGGATCCTGGGATTGAGCCCCGCATCGGGCTCCCTGCTCGGTGGAGAGCCTGCTTCTCCCTCTCCCTCTGTCTGCCGCTCTGCCTACTTACGCTTTCTCTCTATCTCTGTTAAATAAATAAATTAAAAAAAAATCTTCCTCTTAGAAGACGGTTTCTCAGAACAGTTTAGAAAAATGATTTTTTAGAAAAATTAAGAGCTTTATTAAGTCATGCTTAACTTTTGGAAAAGAGTTGTCAGGTTTTATTACAAATTAAAGTTTTTAAGATCCCAACTTGAGCAGATAGAAGGCAATTTTAAAATATTTAACTGTGTACTGAAAAATCCCAGACTTTTCACAAAACGCTTTAGTCATTACCAAAGAGAGATTCATTTAGGTAAAAATAACATTAGACGCCTCCTGTTGCGTAGATAACGTAGATGGTCCCAGGGATCCGGTCAGTAGGCAGAAGACAGACACTTGAAATATTTGGCCCCGTTCCTTGGTTGACTTCTTATTACTGGAATGAGACATGATGGTAGTCTTGGTAAGCTGGCCTCTAGCCCCTGGCCCTGCGCTCTTCAGCATCCAGAGCGGACTCATTCTCAACTGCGGATTTGGCTCTTTTTATCTCTGTAAGAACAATGGACAGCTTTACAGACACGTGCGGGTAATTGGGAGTTGTAGGAGTACCCACAGTGAGGTGGCTGCTGGTCCGGGGCCTTGTCTGGATTCTTCTCCTTACCCTCCTCATGCCCTCTCCTCTGGGCCAGTGGAGACCTGGCCCCTGCAGGACCCTGACCAGTAACCCTGACCCGAGCTGTGTCTCTCGGGCCCAGTGTACAGGGGTGTGGTAGGGTTGTGGTCGAGGCCCACAGCTTTGCTTTAGTAAAGTGAGAATTCCTTTCTGCAGCAGGAGTAGTGCTGCTCAGTGTGGCCTTCTGGAACTCCCTCCAGTCCTTCATTCTTTGCCACGGATCTAAGACATGACAACGTGGATAACGTTTGTTGCCTTCTCCTGCCCCTCTGGGCTGGACACCCGTTTCCCCTTTAACAGCCTCAGACCCCATGATCTCTGTGTTCCTCACTGTGGAATACTTCCAGAAGGTATTCTTCACGGCCAAGTGCTGTACAAATAGGTCTTTCTTGGTGTTACTCCTTAGTGGAAACACACCCATTTCTCGTACTGCACAGCTGGCCATTCCCCTGACTCTTCGGGTCCGTGCTGGGGGAGCTCGGCTGTTCGGCTTCGCCCTGGGCTTCCAGACGTCACGCCCGTAGGCAGGGCGCCCGGGATGGGCAGGGGGAGGCTGTCCTGCGTCTCTGCCTCCCGGTGCACGCTGGCAGTGACGATGGTGGTGATTGTGGCCCTCCTGTCACCAACGGAACCACAGAAATGCGTTATTAAGCAGCTTTGTTTCTTTACTGAATCTACCAGCATTGACTCCCCTGCTGCGTGTAGCTGTCCCCTCCCTGGGCTTGAGCGACACTGTGCCCCCTGGTTGCGCGCCTGCCTGTCTGTCCTTCTGCTTCCTTTCTGCAGTATGTTTGATCCCGCTTGTCAGCCTGTCTTTGGGGGTCTCCCTTGCCCTCTTTTCTCAAAGACATTCCTGTGGTTTCTCCTCTCCTGTGCTCCCTTTTTAGTGCCAATCCCTCCTCTCCTCTATCTGAACATCTGGGTGGTTCTACTTTTGGCATCTTCCACCCCCACAAACACCACTACAGTCTGGTTGCTCAGTTCTCTTCCTGATTCTCAGAATGCTTGGAGTTGAACTTGCTGTCTTCCGCCCTTAAAGTCTGTCCTCTGCACCTTTCCCATTCCTAGCAGAGATGTAAGTGTTCCCCCAGTGTGCCCGGCTAACGACCGTGGTCCCAATTAGCCAGGTCTTCCCTCGTTGTCCTCACTTGAAATCTTTGTTCCAGATTTTTGTTTGCTGCTCGTTGGCAAGGAATCCCCATTCAGACTTGCCTTCGTCTGATGGTGTCTCCTCTCGGCCATCTCCCATCTCTGTGGTCAGCTTCTAATTTACTATTACCTTCCCGGTTCTTCGAGATTATCTGTGAAACTGAGTGAGACTTTCTCTTGCCACTTTCATATTTTATTTATCATTATCCTTCGCTCTTTCCAGCTTTCTCCCCAAATAATTGGCTACACTTGAAAACCCTTGAGATTTCCTGAGGGCTTTATTTTTAGCTTCATTAGGTCCTTCCCACAACAGCAACTATTTGTTCCCTTCTATTTAGAGAACAGAGACATTTTCTTTTTCTTTCAGACTGCGAGACAAGACCAGAAAATAGTTCAGCCCGAGCGCTGAACATCTTTGAGGAGCAGCCATGTCAAGAGGCAGTAGTGGAGAAACACAAAAGGGATGATCCTTGCAGTTCTAACTCTTTCGAAAGCCGGGGGTGTGGAAGCAGCGTAGAGAAGCATCAGGCAAACCAACAGACGCTGGCAAGAGAAATAAAAATCACTGAAAAGACAGTACCCACGTGGGACAGAGGCCCTGTAACTAAGGACTCTGAAAAATGCATCAGTGTGAGTTCAAACCTTGTAACACAAGAAAAATCCCCAGAAGAGACCTCTACTAAAACAAGCACCAAACAGAATACAAACCCGGTTAAAAAAGAGAAATCTTGCAAGTGCAACGAATGTGGGAAAGCTTTTAGTTATTGTTCAGCTCTTATTCGCCATCAGAGAACACATACTGGAGAAAAGCCCTACAAATGTAATGAATGTGAAAAAGCCTTCAGCCGGAGTGAAAACCTTATAAACCATCAAAGAATTCATACTGGAGATAAACCGTATAAATGCGATCAGTGTGGAAAAGGCTTCATTGAGGGCCCATCTCTTACTCAGCATCAAAGAATTCACACCGGAGAAAAACCCTATAAATGTGATGAATGTGGGAAAGCCTTTAGTCAGAGGACCCATCTTGTTCAGCATCAGAGAATTCATACTGGTGAGAAACCGTATACTTGCAATGAGTGTGGAAAAGCCTTTAGCCAGAGGGGCCACTTTATGGAACATCAGAAAATTCATACAGGAGAAAAACCTTTTAAATGTGATGAGTGTGACAAAACCTTCACCAGGAGCACCCACCTCACTCAGCATCAGAAAATTCACACTGGCGAGAAAACCTACAAATGTAACGAATGTGGGAAGGCCTTCAACGGGCCCTCAACGTTTATCCGCCATCACATGATCCACACTGGGGAGAAGCCGTATGAGTGCAACGAGTGCGGGAAGGCCTTCAGTCAGCACTCGAACCTCACCCAGCACCAGAAAACACACACGGGGGAGAAACCGTACGACTGTGCTGAGTGCGGGAAATCCTTCAGTTACTGGTCGTCGCTCGCTCAGCACCTGAAGATTCACACCGGAGAGAAACCCTACAGATGCACTGAGTGTGGCAAGGCCTTCAGCTACTGTTCCTCCCTGACTCAGCACCGGAGAATCCACACCAGAGAGAAGCCTTTCGAGTGCACTGAGTGCGGGAAGGCTTTCAGTTACCTCTCCAACCTCAACCAGCATCAGAAGACGCACACCCAGGAGAAGGCGTACGAGTGTAAGGAGTGTGGGAAGGCCTTCATTCGGAGTTCATCTCTGGCCAAACATGAGAGGATCCATACTGGCGAGAAGCCCTATCAGTGTCACGAGTGCGGGAAAGCCTTCAGTTACGGCTCGTCCCTCATTCAGCACAGGAAAATACACACCGGAGAGCGACCGTATAAGTGCAGCGAGTGTGGGAGAGCCTTCAACCAGAACATCCACCTCACACAGCACAAGAGGATTCACACAGGCGCAAAGCCCTACGAGTGTGCTGAGTGCGGCAAAGCCTTCCGGCACTGCTCCTCCCTTGCTCAGCATCAGAAGACCCACACCGAAGAGAAGCCCTACCAGTGCAACAAATGCGAGAAGGCTTTCAGCCAGAACTCCCACCTGACTCAGCACCAGCGCATCCACAGCGGGGAGAAGCCATACAAGTGCAGTGAGTGTGACAAGGCCTTCAGCCGGAGCACCCACCTGACGGAACACCAGAACACGCACACGGGGGAGAAACCCTACAACTGTCACGAATGCAGGAAGACCTTCAGCCAGAGCACGTACCTCATCCAGCACCAGAGGATCCACTCAGGGGAGAAGCCCTTTGGATGTAGCGACTGTGGGAAAGCCTTCCGGTACCGCTCTGCTCTCAGCAAGCATCAGAGACTGCACCCGGGCATATGACTCTTCCAGGAAGTCCGCCTTGTCCTTTGGTTAAGTACCGAGGACTCCGAGTGAAGTCAGCGAGCCGCTCAAAACACTCTTCCTTTTCACCGTCCACTATGGTACGGAAAGGACGCAAAGGGCTGAAGGAATCCAGTGATGCTGTTAAGCAACTCGGTGACATTGGAAAATTGAACTGTTTTCAGCTGCAATTTGCTCTGTGAATGAGGGATCTGGAGTAGGTGGGTTTCAGGAGTTTGGAGTTTTATATTCCAGTTTTGTATATTCACAATATATTCTTGACTAGGATTACTATACATCAGCATTTTGCTGTGTGGCATCTAGCGTGTGTGTATTTATGCATGTTTTGCTAATAGAAAGCATTTGTGCCTCAGTAACTAGACGGGGGGATCTATTGTGCTCCTGTTCTAATGCGTTTAAGTTGATTAAGTAACTGGTTCCTAATAAAAAGAGTTACAAAACATTCTTAAATTAATAATTCATTGGGATATCCTGGCTTACCTCGGGGCAAGGACTAAACCTTCCTGTTCCTGTTTCTTTTAGTCTTCGCATTCTAGGAGTTCTATCACAACTACAGAGATCCTCCTCTGTAGCTAAACCAGTGTCATTTAACCCTCACTGAAGAGTGCAGTCACCTCCGGACCGTTATAAAATTTGTTGCCAAGGCCCCACCCTCGGAGACTAACTTAACTGGCCTAGTGGGTGGGGACAGGCTTCACTATGTTTTTAAACTCCGAATGTGCAGCCCAGAAAGAGAACTGGATTAGATGACCCGCTCCTTAGTCGGCAGCTTCCGGTGGCTCCTCCTAGAAGCCTCACGTAACTTGTACACAGAATTTTGACTGTCGTCTTGTTTCGTAAGTTGGGTTCTCATGCTCTGGGAGGTAGGGTTAATTTATTTCCTCACCGAAGTGCAGAAATTAAACAGCTGTGTAAAGGTCATCTTACCTGCTTTTCCTTGGCCCTAGATGCCAAAGGCAGATGACAGTTAACGACCTCCCTGGCCGTGTGTGGCTCCAGTCAGGATAATGTGCGAGCCAGGAATCCATATGGGCCGAGCCCAGAAGGGACGGGCCCCTTCGATTTCCTCCAGATCTAGTCTAATTACCAGGTAGCTCTTTTCGGGGCAACTAACGACTTCCCAGCCTGGCCTTGAGAATGGAGAGCGCTGAGAACAGAGGGTAGCAGAGCAAAGTTCTAGACTCTTCCACAGCAAGGTTTGGGGGGAGTGGGTGCTGCAGACTCTCACAAGTGAAAAAAAAACCAATGTAGTCTTTTTGGCTTTAATAAATGCCAGTGACCTACACTGGAGTCTTGTCCCCTCCTTAAGTGGAGGTGCCAGACAGTGAAAAACAGATCGAATTCAGGAAAAATGTAGCCGTTTTAAATTTCACGACCTTTTTCTGTTGTAATTTGAACCATCTGTAAAGGAATGCCGCCTTGGTATTTCATAATTTCTCAAGGCTTCCATCATGTAGGAATTACAGTCCTCCCACCTCGGAGGTGGAAACGGGCAGGATACAGGGTAAGCTTGGGGTGGGATCGGAGCCCCTCCCACAGGACAAGGAAATGAAGTTTCTGTACCTGCGTGAAGGGTCCTCTCGCGTCAAAGGAGATCCCAAAATGGAAGACACCAGAGTCTGTCTGGAATGCAAAGACGCCTGTCCTTGTGCAGATTCCTAAATGAAGGAGTAGAATTTATGTGGAAATGTGTCACCAACCCTGAAAGATCCCGCTTTGTTCCACTCATCACAGATGCCGTCAGGTCCAGGCACCTGGAGCATGTGGTCACTGCCCGACTTACTTCCTCTGCTTGCCTGTCCCCCATCTGCCCAGATCTCTCCCCGATCATACAGGCCTGCAGAACGCAGAAGCGGGGGGCCTCCAGAGGTTGGCATGACCTTGGTTTCTGTATCTTCTTTTTGAGTAGCTCAAGAAACCCTCTTTACTATTCGTCCCAGAACACATTCCACGTCCCCAGGGGAGCAGATTTGCCGCTTCAGCTCAGACACATCACCCTAATCCTACACGCTGGTGAGTGAGGGTGTTCACCACCTGAGCTGCCCCCTCGCCATGTATGTTCCTCCCTCCCCCCCCATCTTAAGAGCCGAGAGAGGAAGTTCCTTCGAGTGGTTTCTTAGTCCTTTTTTCTTAATCGTGTCACTTATATGCCACAAACATCTGTAACGTAACTGTATGGATAATAACATGCTCTATCCCACTATGTCCTACTAGACGGCAGAGTAAAATTAAAATCTAAAGCGGGAAACTGGAATTTAGAAGTTCTAGCCTTTTCCTTGAACTTATAACCAGCCCTGAAAACTAGGAGTTCAGTTTACATTAGAGGTGTACCATCCACTGACAAGCTGCCCCAAAATAAAAGGGTCTCAGAAATAACCAATAAAACCAGACAATACTTTTTGAGGCAAGAAATTCTCTACCATTAACAAAAAATTCTATGAACTTCATAATGCAGTTTCTTTGGGTGTTTCAGCGTCCAAGACTGAGCATATAAAGACCACACATTTTTCCCTCAGTCCTAGACTGGCAATTTCCTTATCTGCCACCAGATCATAGATAAAGGGCCACCTGACCAGGTTTTTGTCAAATACGTTGTTGGGGGAAAGGGGGAAATACCAATAACCTCATCATTCTTAAACATTTGGGTCTTCAGGGGCGCCTGGGTGGCTCAGTCGGTTAAGCGGCTGCCTTGGGCTCAGGTCACAATCCCGGGGTCAGCAGGGAATCTGCTCCTCCCTCTCCCTCTGCCCCCACCCCTGCTGTGCTCTCTCAAAGTGAAATCTTTAAAGCAAAAAAAAATGGGGTTTTTCCATTAAAAATAATCCAACCACAGCCACTGCCTATGAGCGACCTAACCTTATAGTGCTTGGGGGTCAGATGGGGACAAAACCAAATCTCTGCTTCCACAGAATTCACATTTTATTCTAAATAAATGTGTCGAATGCCAAGCGATGGTAAGTGTTTGAACTAACATTGAAACTGTGGATGGCTTGTGAGAAATCCCACCAGGGGCCGTGGAAGTAGGATGGCTGGGAAATGCCTTTCTAAGGAGCCCGCCGAGCACAGGCTGGAGGAGGTGAAGGAATGGACGAAGTCGGTGATGGAGAGCCTCCTAGGCACAGGGCTGTGGCCACAAAGGTCCTGAGACCGAGCGTCTTTGGCAGTTGGAGGATGCCGGATGGAGCTGGGTGAGTGGGGACGGGGTCAGGCAGCTGTGGAACCGCTCACGCGGGGCCTTCCTGGCCTTGGTCAGGACTGGGCATTTTATTCCCAATGAGATGGGAGGTCAGCGGGGGCTGCTGAGCGGGGGAGTGACAGGATTTTACTTAGGTTTTAGGGGGGTCGCTTGCTGCGGTGGAGGGAAGAGATGCAGGGGTCTGGGTGGAATGCTACCCCGGTTGGTCCAGGTGACCCAGACAGAAGTGTTAGTGAATGTAGGAAGTAGCTGGGTTGAGGCGCTACTCGGAAAAAACAGACCAGGTTTGCTGATGGTTTGGACATGAGAGTGTGAGAGAAAGAAACCAGAATGGCTCCGATGTGGGAAGCAAAGGCAAAAGAAAAATTAAATTTCCTTACTACCTACAGCCCACTGACAAGTCCTTGAAACAGGCAGAGAGACCTTCCTCTGGGAGTTCAGCTGCCTGGATGTTAATACTCTGCTGAGGGCAAAGTATTAGTGGCCTGACCCCCAGGATCCTGTGAGTCTAACACATAAAAATTCCTTTGGAAACTTCCTCTATCTCCACCATCCTCCCCCAAGACACGTGTTGGCAGTCGTCCCCCAAGCATACGGTCCACCGATAGACCTCTGAAGGCTCTCGTGACTCAGGTTCTATTAGACGGTAATAAATGACCTTTCCCCAACAGCAGCTGGCCCCCGTGAGGTCCTGGAAACCTTGCTTCCAAATTCCCTAGAGACTCACGCTGTCCCTGACCGCCTCCCAACTTGAGGGTATACAAAGGGCCACTTTTCACAACCCCAGTGCCCTCTTTCCGCCCACGGGTCCTGTCCCCGTGCTTTACTAAAACCACCTGTTTGCACCAAAGACGTCTCAAGCACTCCTTGCTGGCCGTCGGCCTCGAACCCTAACGTCTTTCCTGCGTCCGCTCTAAGGGCTCCGGCCTGAGTAACATGAAGAAAGCAGCTGCCGAGTCCTGGAGAAAGGACGACCAAAGAGGGAGCAGGTTCACAGAAGGGGTGAGGAACCTGAATTCAATTTGGGAACTTGTTAAACATGGGAAACCCCACAGAATACAAGAGTACAAAGAACACATCGGTCTGATATCACTCAGGTCCCGAAAGAAGAGCGTTGCCGGCGTCCCAGTAACCCCTCCTCTACCCCTTCCAGTCACAACCTGTCTTCGTCCCCCAGGGAACCACCGTCCTGCGTGCCAACACCGGAGGTTAGTTTCACCTGTTTTTGACCTGCGCTCATACAACAGGCTTGTGTGACTAGCTTTTTAAACTCAGACTGGGTTTGCGGGACTCGTCCCTGTTGTTGCAAGGAGCTGTGAACGTTGCACTCCATTCCTCCACAGGTGTCTCATTTGGATTGTTTCCACGTCGAGGCAGCTGGGAATAACGCCACTGATAACATCCCTGCACGTCTTTTGTGCACATGTGTGCCCGTCTCTGTTCCGCGCACACCTGGGAGTGAAATGACCGCGTCAGGGTACACGGACGTCCAGCTTCAGTAAACACTGCCAAACCACCACCACCCACATTCGAGAGCTTCCACTGCTCTGCGTCTTTGCCGATGTTTTCATGGTGTTTTTATTTTAGCTACCTGGGCCAAGTGTGGCTTCGGATGCTTTAGACACCCAAGTGCAGACATCAAGTCGGCTGCAGGATGCGCAAGGCTGCAGTATGAAGGAGAGGGCCGCTGGGGGTCCACAGTGTGAATTTAAAATCATGGGAGCGGATGGTGTGGCTTTGGAGGAGTGTAGATAAACCCGAGTTTCAAGGACTGAGCCCTTAGAAACCCCAGTTTTTAGAAATCAGAGGTGGAGATCCATGCAGAAGGGAGGCAGCCTGTGAGGCAGTGAAATAGTCAAGGAGTGGAGTGTACTGGCAGCCCAATGAAAAGAGAGTTTAAGGATGAGAAGATGATCCACTCTGTCTCCTGAGAGGTTGCAAACGATGAAAGCTGAGAACTGACCTTTAGATTTGGCAGGGAAGAGATCAGTGTTGACCTGAAGAGCAGCTTCGGTGGACTGCAGGAACCAAAACCTGACTGGAGCGGTGAACACGAGGGTAGGAAGGAGACAACTGGAGAAAGCAAGTCTGGGCACTTGAGTTTTGCCAGAATGAGAAAAGAAAATTGGGGTAGTTGCTAGAAGAGGATATTGAGTTGATGACTTTTTTTTAAGATTTTATTTTTTCAAGCGAGAGTGAGTGGGGGGGAGGGGCAGGGGGAGAAGCAGGCTCCCCGCCGAGCAGGGAGCCCAACATGGGGCTCGATCCCAGGACCCTGGGATCATGACCTGAGCCAGAGGCAGATGCTTCACTGACTGAGCCCCCCCCGGCGCCAAGTTGATGACCTTTACCAGGAGCTAATGACAGTACATTTGAATGCTCCCGAGCCTGACCCAGTAGGGAGGGAAAAGCTGATGACCCAGAGAGGAGTGAAAATAAAGGGAAGTCCCAAAGGGAGCAGGACTCAGTGAGCTCAGTGCACAAGGGGGAGGGCTGACCTTAAAACAGGAGCGTGACCGGGTTGGCTGTAGAAACAGGAAGGAGCGCAGAGTATTTGGCTGTGGTTGTAGGTAGGTTGGTGGAGGAAGGCTGCGGAAGTTCTCCTTCGATTGCTTCTGGTTTTTCACAGAATTAGGTCATGAGCAGGGACGGAGAAGTGGGTGATGAGCTGTCAGAGGCTTAATGAGAGGACACAAGGTGTGAACGGGAACCTCGGACAGCGCGGGGGAGTGACCAATGGAAGAAACGCAGGGCTGGAGGGCGACAGACAGGCCCCTTGAGGAATCTGGCCGAGAATTTCCAAGGAGACCCATCACCATCTTTGAGCTTCCTTTGATGTTCCGCTGCATGGGGGCAGGGAGAGAATAAGCTGAAAACTGGATTTAACCAGGATTTTCCTAGGACAGTGTGACCCAAGAGAGGATTAAGAGAGCAAGGCTGCTTGAGAGACGTGGATTATAATAATGACCTGGGGCATTTACACGGGGAATGGAGTGAGGGAAGCAAAGAAAAACCCAGAGGTCTTCCTGTTTTAGGTTTTGCTGAGGCTGAAAACAGATAGATCGTACTAGAGGCAGGAAGCTGAAAAGGTAGGACGGAGATGGTAGTCAGGAAGCGGCCTGCTTGCAACGGAGGCTGTGAGGAGTGTACTCACTGGTAAGGACACGAGGTCCAGGGTGTGACTCCGGGTGGAGATGTCTAAGAGGAAGAGAAAAGCAGACGGTCGGAGGCGAGGCAGCTGAGACCCGAGAGCCCGGGCGTTCGGTGGACTGACTACATGAATATTACTGGGAAGAGTGGGGCAGGCGCTGTGATCTCAGGGGATGAAGCAGTGACTTGGGATCAGCGGATGGCTTTAAGAAGGGGCGGTGGGCGGTCTGGTTTGATGGCGGATGTCTTGGCGGCAGTGGGGGGCGTCAAGGGACGAGGCGGAAACGATGGCCTGTAAGTGGCGATGAGCAG